TTCATATAGAATTCTGCAATTGAAGCTGATCGCTGTCCATAAGTGGACAATGAAAGACTTCTAACTGTTTTCCATTTGTTCTGCATTTTTTAATGAAAAAATTCAAGTGTAAACATTTAACTAAAAATGTTTTCTCTTTTGGAATTTTTCATATATCTCTGAAGAATTTAAAACATTCTTAATATACTGGAAGGTGGTCTTTTAGACTTGTTTAAAAAGAGTAGTTGTTGCCTGTCTAAAAGATGCTCGTGTAGTTACAGTGTTGACAGTCTTTGGTTATTGTTTATTTTATATGGTATTTACAAAAGAAAACATAACTGTGAGAAAATAAAAAGGACTTTGCTTACTTTTCTGATTACTTCAATTTCATAATCCATGGAGGAATCTGAATTAGCTAATACGAGACTGTATTCTTAAAACTGGTTGTCAGTAAGCTTTTGAAAATCAGTCAGTTAAAAAGACTATTGTTCCCTGTGTTCAATTCTTTAAAAAGATTATTTTAGGTTTTTTCTGACCTGTTTGTTGTATAGCACCAGTATTGACATTTCCCACTAAATGTAGCTCATACTTCTTCCATAAGCATATAATTTTTTAGCTCTATTATTTGTTCTTCACAACTGCACATGCACACCAGTAATCAAATTGGGCTGTTCCTTTCTTTTCATTTTGTAGTCAGTAATATTGTTGTTTGGCTTGCTATTTATGATTTTTTAATGCATTGCTTTGCTTTTTTACTGGTTCTTTTGTATGTTGGAAAAGGATCTCCCAGTGAATTATTACTACTTTTATGGATAAAATAGATCTGACATTAGAAAGTAACATGTGTTTTTCTGGTGTAATTTTTCATGTGTCCTAATTGCAGATGGCATTTGCTGAGAGGTACAAAACTAGTACTTGAGATGTAGGAGTTACTATGTGGTCAGTTTTGCTTTTTCCCTTGAGGTGAACAAAACCACAAAACTGATTAAAGGGACATATTGTGGGTGCAACTTTAAAGAATAATCCTTGTGTTGTTATGCTTGAAAATTGAAATGTATTAACTGGACAGTTTTGTTTGAAAATGTACCCTACTACAGACTTTATCCTAAGCAGTCTTTAAGCTTAATTTAATCCTCATTTTTTGTCATTGACAGTGTTTTGAAGGATTTTTTTTTTCTTTTGGTATTGACTACATATTCTGACTCAGTCTCTAAAGAAGCACTTATGGATTTTTTTTTTTTCATCGACATCTTGTGTGCAAAGGGTTCTAGTTTCTTCAGCTGTGTGCAGTTGTCAGGCTCTTGCATCTGTGTGAAAGCTCATCACGAGTTTTTTTGTAGGTTTTGGCCTGCAAGTTTTGGAAGGACTTGATGAATGCTCACAGTAGGAACACACTGTTGGAGAGTTTCCCTTGGCTTCTAAGGGAACCATGAACTGCAGCTGACTGCACTGGCATTGGGATCAGCTTTCAGAGCCCATGGGGCTTCTGCTGTTAAGACAGGGAAGGCCACACTGGGAGAGAGTCTGTTAAGATATAATGTTGCTTTGAACACAATCCCTGGTGTTGAGAACTGCTTTAGACAGTACATAGTGGAGCTCTTAACTCTGAAGATTGCTTTCAGGATTGTAGATAGAAAATCATACACAAATTCGAGGGATTTAATAGAGAGAAAAGTAGAGAAAGGAACTGCATCTCCAACACCTGAATTTCTCCATTGTGAAATGTGACCTCAGGTTATTTTGCTGACAAGTTTCTGATTGAATTACAAGATGGAAAAGAGAAAGTAAACTAAAATATTAAGTCCAAGACCACTACTGATAAGCACTGAAAAGCTTGAAACATTTCCTTTTTATCAGACCTTGCCTCTAACCTCTCATACCCTGGTAGTCTCTGCTCCAGACACTGATTCAATGACTTTTTGTGGTGCAATTTTTAGTACTGTTGGGGTGAACAAAGCACAAAAACCCCCACCTTTAGAGATGCAGCTTTCTTGTCTTTGCTGTTGTTTTTGTCAGAAATCCATAGATTTATTCTTCATAACTGGTAGCAGGAAGAGTGAAAACAGTATTTCTTATTGATGATTCGGTGAGTATAATTGTTCTGTTGTTGTTGTTTCCTTGACCAAGTATTTCCATGGCAAAGTGTGTATGTCTCACATATAACTTTTTGTGATGTTTCAGTACAAATTTACCTCCAGGTGTTAGTATCAAACTGTTCTTGTTAGAAGTAAGACTGCTAATAGAGGCTCCCTCGAAAACGTGTCTTTGTAGTGATTGAGGCTGTGTCTGGATTAGCACCTGAGTTAGAATTAATTTTTTTAATGTACATTTTAGCACATAGGGAGAAAAGCCATCTATATTGTGAGTGAGCTGATCCCTTCTATACAGAGGGATGTTACAAGTAGGATGGTGTGGAATGTGAAGTTGACTGACTGGGTTTCCTCACAGACTGAGATGGAGCAGTGCAAGGTGCACCAGCAGGTGCAGCACCCTGACTTGGCTTTGCTAAAGAACCTCCGAGAGAGGGCCCTTTTCTGTGCATGTGAGTGAGGAAGGAAACAGTGAGTGTGGTGGCATGTTTATGAATCAGCAGACATGCACACCTCTCAGGCTCAAGACACTGAAAGGAAGGAGGTGAAATTCATGGAAATGGAACTGAACTTTGGTCTTCATGTCCAGTTCTCTGGGACAGATTAGCTCTTTATGTTTTCATTTCTACTTGGTGATACTGATAAAAAGTATTTGTGAAAATAAAAATGTATGTCCATTAGATAAGGATGTATAAAATCTTTAAAGCTGTTGTGCTTTAGAAAGCACACTGTGAATTATAACTTCTCTTCTGTTAAAAATATCCTGACTTAACAGTTCCTCGCTGATTCCCATCACTAAGTCTTCTGTATGGGCCATTAAATAAATCAGTAAAAATGGGAAAGTAACTAGAAAAGGCCTGCATTGCATTTTCAGTGGGAGTTTGTTCCTAATGAGGGATTTCTTTTGGGTTTTGGGGTGAGGATTAAGCCTCTGTACTGTGGTTCTGGTGTGTGTTTGGCTGCCTAAGACTGACATCTGATCTGGTAACTTCTCAGTGAACTAAGGCAGATCTCTGAGGCTTGAAGCAACCTTTGTTTTGTTTCAGCACCTGATAACTAGTGCTGTAAAAAAGTGCTTTTGTATTTAGTGTTACATATGAAATGTGGCTTATGATCTCTAGATCATGACATGCCTTTTTGTGGATTTCCTAGTACTACAAATCTTCGGCCTGTCTAGGTACTTCTTCCCTGTGATCAAATGGTCTTCTGCGTTACAGGTTTTCATTAGCTGAACAAACCTATTGCAGATGTGTTTGAAGAATTCCAAAATGAAGGGTTTAATAAACTGTGCATAGAATGGCTTCTGTAAACATGTATGAAAATTGTTTGGTTTTTGGTTTGGTTTGGTTTTTTTTAAGGCATGTAGTGTTTCCTTTGTGTGAACATAAAATGAAATACTGTATTGCAGTATATAATTTTTAAAAATCTGGTCTTAATAAAGACTATTTGCAAAAGGTAATAAATATAATTAGAAAAACCTCCAAAAACCAACCCAAAAAGAAACAAAGAACTGATTACCAGACCAAAACCAAGAGGAATCTCCAGTTTCTCATGTAACTTGAAGATCAACCTAATGCCTCTTTAAGACTGTGAAACTTCCCAAGATGTCTGTAGTTTTAATAATGTATGTAATTGTGATAAATGAATAATTTCTGTATTGTAAGTTGTGGAAGGGTGAAGATATTAATCAAAAAAAAAATCCTACAATGAACAAACAACACTGCTACAGAGAGTTAATAAAAATTCTTTCAAGGCTTATAGTTTGCCTGCACATACACACATTCTCCTGAAGAATGTGAAATCAAGAAGTTTCTCTGATAACTCTTCTCATTTCAGAGCTCTAAGTACCAATTTCTGTTTCAAAGTTGGGACCGTGTTCAAACGGGTGCCCTGAAGCGCTTGTGGTGTCTGTGGATGCAATTTGCCTGCTGGTGCAGTGCCCTCTGGTGGGCCGCAGCTCTAGGGCACCCCGTACCAGGCTTCTCAGTTGCCTGGGCTGTTCTTGAAATCCATGGATGACTTCACAGTTATCTGCCTGCTCTCCGGAGAGTGTGCAAATGATGGCATGTTTACTTACTCGGATAAATGCATTGCACAATTTGTTTTGTTCCTGTTTATAAAAGCTTTAGGCTACCACCACCCTTGTCAAATAAAATGGATTGTTGAGATGTTTGTCTTGTAACCAAAGTAGATGATTTTTCTGCAAGAGGATGCTAGGTTCTCCGTGTATGTTCTGTGGCATGTAGCAGCTGTGTGGCAGCACCCATACCAGTTGTGAACCTCTTTTCCATAGTTGCACGTACACCAATTCACTTTGCTTTTGGATACTGGGAAAGTGTGGGGTTTGTACCTTAAGTAACAGAAGATAAATGTGAGATTTCAGCAACTGTTTTATATAAAACCTTGTACTTAGGCTTATTCAGTGTCAAGTTGAAAGTATAAATTCAAGGCTAATGTAAGGAACCTTTTCCATTTTCTTGCAAAAAAACATGATTGGTGATCAGATGGGCTTTCATGTAGGTGGTATGTAACAATTATTTCTAGCTACAGAAATGAACAAATCAGAAAAGGCTTTATTTAGTATTCTGCTTTGTACCTGCATGCATGCAGGCAGGAGAGAATGAGAAGATAAAAGGACAAAAGTTGGCACATTATATTTACAATGCATCAGGTTATTGGATCGGGTGCAGCATTTTCCATATACAGTGGACTGTTCTTGCCTCTTAATGAGTATTAAATTAGTGTATATTGTAGTAGCTGGTACATTTTCAGCTGATGAGATAGACTGGTATGTATACATTATTTGAAAATCGATCTACTTGCACTTTACCTTCTTATGCTAAACACAATTTGCAAATTTATTTCAAAGGCTAACTCATACAAAATGTTAATATCTTCAGATCATTGCAACAATGCTGTCTTTTCTTTAAGGTTTTGACAGAGGGAAGGATGATGTGTCACAAAGTAAAGAGGATGCAGCATATTCTATGTCAAAAAGTAAGGTAAGGAAACCAACCTCCTAATTTGTCTTAAGAATGTTAGTACGTAATGGAGTTATGCATTTTTAATTAAAGGCAAATATACTTACCTTTTGTGTAGATAATCTTAAAGATTACTCTTCAGAATCAGCAATAGGTAAAGATTAACGTGAGTTTCTTAATATAGTTCCCTGGATGACATCATGTGAAAGTTTATGGTTCAAAGATCAAAGTAGTGAAAATGAAATATGGACTCTTCTTCCTGTCATCTTAGGGTGGGATGTTGCTTTGCCATATGTAGAGTTTAAAAGCTTTAACTTACCCAGCTGTGTTTCTATTCTGTTCTGTGGTTTTCTATTTTCTGCTAGGATGTCTTTTTACAGAGGCAAATGTGATAACAAACACTTAAACAGATTGTCAGGGCGCAGCAGGTATGGGCTGCTCTAGCAGGTGAGGACCTGAGCTTGAATACAGGTAGCTCCCAGCGGGAATGGGAGACATGCCTGTGTTTTGCCACTCTTGCGCACAGCTCTGCCCACAGCACTCTGCTGCCAGGTGGGCACTGCACCTGTTGGAGGTGGTCCTGGCCAAGGCAACCGCACTTTGGAAACAGAAGAGCTGCACTTGAGGTCTTGACACAAATTTTTCTGTGATATTTGATGTGTCAGAGCCTTAAAGGGAAACGTTGCAAAGATATTGAAGGAAAACCAAGAGACTTAAAGATTACGGTAGCATTTCCTGGCTGAAATGGCATCTCCAGAACTAGCTTCTGGAGCTGATGGTGCATTTTTTGGTGTGTAGCCAAGCATTTCAAGCTGTTGGTGTCTTACATGTGACTTGGAATTACAAAACTTTGTGTCTTTTAGCTTTACTGCATCCTAGAATGGATTCCTTGTCAGGAATATCAAGGAAGTATACTTTACCATCCAGCTTGCTTCTGATCAAAATATTTATTTTGGTCCAGAAATCTAAATAATTTTTGACTTGGAAATCAAATTAATATGGTCTCTTTTGAATTGCATTTATTTCAGACGCTCTTAATCACTTCTCTTTGACTATCCAATTCCTTTTTTCTCTTTCTTACATTTATTTTTCTTGGTTCTTGTCTTTCCAGGATCTTAAGTCTTTGTGTTCTTTGGTGTTACTTTTGTTTGTGTCTTTCTGCTATCAAAGATGAGATCAATATTCGTACTTCTGCTAGTAGATATTCTTCTTCATCTGTCTTTTTGCAATTACTGCATGTGACACTTGATTATACTAGTGGAGATGAAGTAGCAGCCCTTCTTTCTAAGTGAGAATGGAAAAGCAGTGATGAGACTTACCTGGAATCTGGTACTGAATGTACCTTGCTGGGAGTTGCAGCAGGTTCTTTTAAAATGTTTTCTTCTAAATTTTTTATCCCATCCGCTTTGTGTAGATGTAACACTGAGGAAGTTACTAGCATAAAAATACACGGATCACTGACCTGTCTCATAATCCATTGGACAGGTAAATGTAGAACTCTACTCAGTGTCATATTAGTGAGCTTTAAAACTGAGACAATGAGAAAATGAGTTTTTGTAGCCTGTGATACTTACTGGTTTATATGCATGACCTTTGGATTGTCTTAGCTTTCTGTTAGTGAGCAACTAGAATATTTATGAATGTTTTGCTTAACTTGCTCCATTATAGCTTGCATAATGAGTTCATTACCTCTTCTTATGTGACAGTGATAAGCATTTTTCCCCTCTTCTGTTATTACATTTAAAGTACTGTATTTCCTTTAACATCTAAAGAGACGAATTTAATTTCAAGGTGTATGCTTACATTAAAGCTAAATTTTGAATGTCAGGAACATACCTTTACTATAAAATGAAGAGGTTTGCTTCGTTTTTCTATGATATGTATGGAAATTAAAGAACATTTACATACCATTGAAATAACATTGTGCTACAATTTTTCCAGTTACTGCACATATTTTGTACAGTAGCTAAGTAGATTCCTGTAAAGTCTTAGTCCTTAGAATAAAAGACATGAAAGTAGAATAAAGTTAAATTGCTTTATTCTGCTTGTAAATCTTTAATTTTTGTTTCTTTTTTTTTTTGAGCAACTTGTGAGTTAAGAGTGCTCAAGTGCACTGTTTTTATTATTGCAGTAAGTTTTCCTCAAAGCTTGCATATTTTTTGATTGTCATTTTATAGTATTCCAGAATGCAAATTCAGTGAATAGATTTTGCACTGTAGTCTGAGATTTGAAATGCTGAGCAGCTTGAGAAGCAGTTTTCATGAACTGTCCTTGAACTGAATACACAGTTTAGAATGTTACATTGATTTTCCTATTTATTTTTTTTTTGACAAGGCAGAAGCTTTGGGTCTACCCAAAGGCTTATGTTTCAGTGCACAAAGAAATATAACTCCTTGTAATTTATCTAAGTTTGTATGTAGTGGATACCCACTCAGTGTTCTCTGACCTCCAGTAGGAATGATGTGAGAACTCTGTGATAGACTCCTCTTTTTCCCTTCCCCCCCCCCCCCCCCCCCAAGAGTACTGAATCCCACAGTGAATATTTGGTGGCTTGATTTCTCTTTTAACTAGTAGACCACAAGTGCCGACTAGTAAACTTTGAACCTTAAAAGACGTGGAAGAGGCGGGGGGGGGGAGAAATCATGTGGTGCTGAGGCAGCTTATTGTCCTGCATGAACAAGTACTTGGGTGTCATAAACAAACCTAAGTCTTTTCCCCTGTCTGTTGCCATTGTGAGCTTCTTGGAGATGACTTGCAAAGTAATCAGAGTGTGGGATTAAGGAGCAAGGAGCAGAACAAGTGCCATTAGTGGACAGTTCTATTTTGGTGATTTATAAAGCACTGAATCCTAGATTGAAGAGGCTGTATATTCCTTCATGAGTTACAGGGTAAGTGCCTCTATAGCAGTCCATTTGGAGGAGCTGTCAAGTAATGGATGAAGACGTTGGGATTCATGTATCATGGGAACGACTCTTGTATTTAAACACCAGGATTCGCCTAAAACATTCTCCCTCTGCTAAAATAACGCCAAACTATTCAAGCCCGCTCCATCAAGTAACAGGCTACATGAACTAAATATATACTGTACGTAGTTCAGCTGTTTCTGGAGGAATCACAGACTTCTTTCCCATAAAACCTATATGAAAAGAGACTCAATAAATAGGTGGTGAACAGCTCATGTTACAAGTTGTAGCTTGTTGCTTTGGGTTTTTTTTTAAAGTGGGGAAAACAGTAGAAAAGTGAGTGGGAACGGGAACCTTACAAACATAACTGCACTGCAAACACTTTCTAACATGCCTGCATCAGTAATATATCCTTGTATCTATCATTGCAATTTATTTATTATGTGTTTTGTGCATTTCAGTCTGAATCCAAGCTTTTCAATGGCTCTGAGAAGGACATCTCTTCACCTTCAAGCAAACTCACAAAAAAAGAATCTCTCAAGGTGAATTAATTTCCTAGTAACTCCTTATGAACTACCAATGCATTCACATAATTTTACCTTTTTCCCTAATGGGAAGACAAAAATGCCAAATAATCATGAGACTTATGGAATATTTAAGTATTGTGAGAAGTTGTGCTGTCGAGTCTCTTCAAATTTTACTGTACTGTTACTTGCATAATGGGATTCTATAATGCAGTCTTTAAGATGGCACAAGACTGTAGATAACTCAGAAGATTACAGGATAATTCAGGTTGGCAGCAACCTCAGGATATCTACATGCAATGAAATGATAAATGGAATTATCAAAATTACAGTTTGAATGCATTACTTGTAGTTTTTCCACTGCCTTCTTCCCCCTGTGTTGTAACAATACCATACTCCACTATTTGGCAGATACCATGTCAGGAGAAACATAAAATTATTTGGCTCTAAAAGAGGGAGATACATTGCTGCGAATTTCTACTGGGGAGGAAACATAATTGTTGGATAAAGACTACTGATCAGATAATGTACCTGTAAATCTGAATCTACCCCAATTCTCACTTTCTGCTTTACACCAGAAAAGGAAGAGGGGAGGGAGGTTGGTTTGGTTGTTTATTCTCCTGTGTGATTCTAACAGGAGTGTTAAAGTCCTCAGTTTTAAAAGCAAATTGCAGAAGAATCTGAAATTGGCTACATCATAGCTGTTCTTGAGCATGTTCAGAGCATGAAATAGTTGTTTGTACCTTGAAGTCAAATACTGTGTTTTAAAGCTACTTCTCTATATCTGTACTGCAAATCGAATTTAGCAGGTTTTTCCTCATCTTGTATTGATCAATGCCTTTTTATGCTGATAACTGGCTTATGGCTGTGACATTGTAAATATTTTTATTTACAGGTTCAAAAGAAAAATTACAGAGAAGAAAAGAAGAGAGCCACAAAAGAATTACTTAGCACGATCACAGACCCATCAGTTATTGTTATGGCTGACTGGTTGAAGGTCAGAATCCAAGTGTGAAACCTGAGTTGAAAATGTAGCAGCTGCTTGCTGCTTTCTGACCAGAACAGAAAAGGCTCAATCTTTTACTTGCTGTTAATGTTTTTCTACAGGCACAGCAGCCACTAATTGCATCCCAAGGTCTCTGTGCTCAAATCCTAGGGGAGTAATAGAGGAACCTAACTGCCACTTGCTGCAGTCACCCTAGTCACATGCATCTTGCCATTATAGCCATAATAGCCATTAACTTTGGATGAGCTGGTTTTGCAATTCTTATTTTGTCCTTCTCATTTTACACTTTGAGGTGAAGCTCTGTTACATCCATAACAGCAGTGAAAATGATTCAGTCAGATATTTGAATACAGGTTTCTTTCTGCATTTTGGTGATTTTCTTTTCCTCTATTAAGAACTAACTGGTACAAAAGGCAAGGAATTAATTTCTCAAAGATAGCAGTCAATGTTATCAACAGTAGTGCAGTTAATATATTTGTACATATTCCCTACATTTGTAAATATAATCTTTGGATAGAAATGGTACAGTAGTACTGTACTAATAGTGCAAGAAAAAAAAACCTTACCTGTTTTTGTTTGCTCCAAACAGTAACTTACCAGGAAAAGATTTCTCCAGTTTTTGGAAAAATCAGTGTAAACAGGCTAAAATATTGCTCAGAGATCAAGTTGTCATTCAGTCCTACAGACACAGAAGTGAATAAAATCCAGAATTGACAGAATTGATGCAAGCAGTCTAATGAGATGTGGAAATTCAGAGAATTGAAAGGTTCTTTTATTTCACATACATGTGTTGAAGCTAACACCTATTCTAAAAGCTTTTCTCTAAGAAATTCAAATATGTATGAGTTAGTTTGTGAATATCTTGCTTTTCTTATTAAGTCTGCCCTGTGTTCAGAGAAGTTCTGTTTCCAAAGATTATCCTGTCTTCAGGTAGGAAAATTCATTAAGGTTTCAGATTAATTGTCATACTTCCTATATCTGGATGTGTGTATACGCATTTGTAGAGTTAAGTACTCATAAAGAGAGAACAGAAGAGAGAGCATTGAAATTGTACCTTTGTATTCTTTGATCAACCTGGATAAACTTTTGATAGACCTGATAAACTTTGCTTTGAAATAAAAGCTAATAAATTATTTCAATTTTAATTTTGTTAAGGGGAACGGTTTTGGTATTGATTTCACTCAGATATAACTGTAACTATTTATCTTCTAGATTCGTGGTACCTTGAAAAGCTGGACCAAACTGTGGTGTGTACTCAAACCAGGAGTGTTGCTTATTTACAAAACCCCCAAAAATGGCCAGTGGGTAGGAACAGTGCTCCTGAATGCTTGTGAACTCATCGAGAGGCCTTCTAAAAAAGATGGCTTTTGTTTCAAACTTTTTCATCCTTTGGAGCAGTCCATATGGGCTATAAAGGTTAGTGGTAGCATGCATGGTTCTTAAAGGATGAGTAGCATTAGCGAGCCATGAGTAAAGACAACCTTAATGAAAAGCTGAACTGCATTTTCTGTTACAACTTTTGTGGTTTTTTTATTCTGAATATAAGCCTTCAGCATCTCGTCCTGTTCATCAGAAAAATTATTTGATTTATGCTGCTCTGCAAAGAGCTTTAGAAGTGCGGTATGCAAAGGGATGCCATTAAAGAGGGTAATGCCATCACTGGCAATCATATGAAGGAATGAATGTTTAACATATTTTACATCAGTCAAATCTGAGAAATTAAGGTGGGATTTGCCAAAATGAAAGAGTTGTGTTATAAATGTTTTTTGGTGTCCAACCCTATATTCATGTAATAAAATGTCACCCTAGTTCAATTTGCTTGTAAGAGTAGAAATTCAAGTAACTTCCTTGTTCAATAATAGCTTATATTGCAACTTGTTAGCCAAGTCTATTCGGTTTTGGCTACAATGTTAGGAAGATAAATATTTTCATCCAGTTCTGATGTCTGTTTGCCTTTGGCATAATATTGTGAGCGGCTCCTATCTGTGTTGAAATGCACAGTGTGTATTCTGCACAGCAAAGGTTTATTTTAATTTCTCGAAAGAATCTTTAATGCTTGCTATTACTCATTGTTTACAATCTGATAAACTATTGTAGTCCTTGTTTTGTGTTTACATGGAGAGGGGGTGTGGAAGCACAGCACAAGTGAACATATTTTCCTCCTGAAGTGACATCTTGCATTAGATGAGATTACAGTACAATATTAGAAACCTTGTCATAATTAATTAATTATGCCCTCTGCAACATCTTACAATCGTACGATTAGTAGCTATCTTATGTTCTAAATCTCAAATTGATACAGATGTATTGTCACATCTGTTTAATATGCTGAATTGATTTTGTCATCCTTTTCTTAGGGAAGTCAGTCAGTATAATTCCTGATGCTTGTGATCATTCTGAATTGTTATCAATATCAATGTTATCTAAATTTACGAAACTTAGATCAAATCATTTGTACTTGCTTTTGAATAATTTTGTTTTATTATTGCTTAGGAAGACTTTTCAGTAATTAGTGATCTCACATTTACAGAATACAAACTTCATGTCCTTTTCCAAAGCTATAGCATTTGGTGTTAATGTGCTTATTTATGACATGTATACATACATTGCAAAGTGGTGGCCTGTCTGCAGAAGATCAGAAATCAGTCTTATATTTCTTTATTGCTTGGCGATGAGAAATGGATTTGTTTGTTTTTTTTAACTAGATATTTAGAGTTTAGAGGACATGCCCCACCAGATTTTTACTTTTTTAAGGTAGGTCAAATTTTAAACCTGAACCAGTTGATATTGTCCATTCTAAATGTGCTGAGAGCTGGAGTGGCATTTGTTCATTTTGGTATGGCTATTTGCAGTTGAGAATTACTGGATTTTATTAGATGAAAGGCCTTGAAGTTTGAAACCTTTTTCTGCCTTGTTTACCTAGTCAATCATAATGTCCTAGATTTATTACCATGAGGCAAAGTTGCATAAGTGTAATAGCAATTGACTGACCTAGAGTAGATTTACCAGAAAGAGCCTCAAGTCTAAGGCAAAATGAGCCTTGTTTGAAGTCAGTGCAGGAAGATGGCATTGCAAGAAACAGGTACAGAGTTGTTAAGTACTGCGGGAGATTTTCTCGCTTGAACACACTTCCTATAGTGTGGTGGCAGACTGCGAATTCTCTCCTGCAGTAGTTTGTGACCAGTCACTTCACATGCTCCCTTAAGCCTGTTGCTGTGGTCTTTGATGTTCCTTCTACCCTCTGAGGTAGCTGATGCACTGTACTTTGTTTTGTCTTTGTACTTTGTACTTTGCCTGGTCCAGATGCCATTTCAGTTTCCTAAAATTAATAACTAGAAAAGTTAATGCAAATAATTTTTTGGGAGTAAATTTAGTCAGGGGTGGCTGCTTATCTGTTTTCATTGCTGTTTTTGAATGAAGGTTGATGGCATTTGAGTTTTATTGGCATGAATACTCTGTAGGAAGTAAACTTCAAAAGTTTTTTAATCTCATGGAATTTTTAACTTGACCATTGCCTCAGAGTAGTTGTAGCATCATCCATCAGGAGCAGTCAATCCACATAAAGTTACCTAGCACATGGAAACTAATGTGCCTCTTTTACAGAACACTAACATACTGAAAATTGATTTTGAAACCATAATGGGTGGTATCAAAGAAAAGTATCCAGTGCCTTTGGAACAGCAATCCATTAGAGGAAATCAAGATCCATGAGCAGTTATTTAAATTAAGTCAACATACATAAATGTTTGCTATAAATTACTCATTTGGTTTTAATGTAGTGTTAAAACACTTGAGGGAGTGTAACTTTCTTGCATAAAAAAAAGCAAAACCAGACACCAAAACCACACTTCATCTCTAAATTATAGTGGCTTGGTACAGAGTAAGTAGCATACCCTAAAGTGCCCGCAGTATGAACTTAAAGGACAGATCTCATGAGCAGAAATCCGCCCTTAGTCCATGTCCTGTGACTCAAGAGTTTTAAGGACTTGTGATGGCTGAGGCCTGTGCACAGTGCTGGTGCCATGGCCCCTCTGTGCAGCACCCCAGCACTTCTCCCACCCCTGCCTGGCATGGTGCTCTGCCATGGTGCTCTCCCCTCCACAGGTGAGAGTGGGCTTCTTCCCTGTCTTCCCACCCTTGAGATGAGCAGTGGCCATGCATGGGGTTGCCCCTTTTGGTTCTTGGTACCCACTAACTCCTAATCCCAGTGTTGCTGCTTTACCAGACTTTTCATGGGCACACCTTTGTGCTCACTAAGGGGGAGACTGAGGTTTGGAGTCTTGTTTCTAACACCCAATTGCTGTTACTCTATGCTGACTCTTTGTGAGTTTCTGAACATCATTTACACCAGCACTAGCTTGTCTATATTGGTATTTAAGTGCCACCAAGACTACTTGTTTACCCGCTTCTCACCCTCAGAAACGTTCTGGCTGTTTCATTTGCTTGCTTCTAAAATAATCTGCCTTTATCTGCTTTTGCTCAAAACTTCTGCTGGCTTTCCAATTCCCTCTTCTAAACATTGTACTGGCTTTTCATTAGGCTTCTCTGGGGGAAATCAGTGAAGACCAAAGTGTGTTAACTCATCAGTTAGGCAGACTTAACCCAGCTTTCAGTGATAGCTTCAAGTATGTTTATACAGCCCTCTTTGCCTATCAATTGTCTTAATGTTACCATATGTAAACTTTTTTTGGAAGGGGCTTTAAAATGGTTATTTAACATTTTATTCCAAAATGAAATGGAAAGGTCTTTTGGATTTTATTTTTTTTTAATGTGAAATGTGAAGAACTTCACAGTGAATATAAAACTTTGGCATTTGATATCCTCTGTGTATCTTTTGGCTGAACTTAATGTCAAGGTTGCCGATGCCCTTTATAGAGAGACTTAAGCATCTAAATGTCTTTTTTGTGGACCCAGTCATTATCTTGTTTTTTTCTTGATAAAATGACAAGTTTACAGTTAGGCATCTGAATGTTTTGTGGAATTGACTACTGCATAGGTAGAGAAGTTGAAGAGGGAGGAGGGAGGGAGAAAGGATTAGTGGGTTTCAGTACATGGCAGTTATTTCCCTTTTATTTAAATAACAATTGACTCATCTGTATTCTGAAGACAGGCAAAAATTGTGTAGTTCTGGATGCTGCTGAGACACCAAACACACTGGCATATAAAATAAGCATGAAGTAGATCCCTGAGTAAGACCTCCCATTCTTTGCAAGGGTTTGGCTTGCACTGGTGTCTCTCTATTCTATGAACCGTAGCATCCTTCTGTGAGTTGAGAGAAATCTTTGCTCTCATCCAGAGCAAATGACACTTGAGGGGGAGAAAAGCCAGTTGCTGTATAAATGTGGGGTCTTCTGCTAGGCAATATTTGTTGTAAATCAACTCACTTATATCAGCCCACAGGCATGTCTTTTGTTTTGCTTGTTTTCAGTCTTACCTCTTCAGCTGAAATATTGAGTGGAAGAGGAATAGCCTGTCCTTTGTGATCTCTTTACACTGATCTGCAGGAATTCCTGTACAGTGAGGGTGACCCCCATGCCATTCCTTTTGATGCTTTTGTCATCTTGCTATAAGTAGCATCAGCAGAGCATTTCCAAGTTACTATGCCAAGTCTGATTTACACAAAAATCCCAAAAAAACCACATCAAAAATTTTTTTAATCCCAAAGACCATTCTTTTTAAAGTGGGCTTGAATTCGGTCCTATGCTTAGAATGAAGACTTTGAAGAAGAAATCCAGTAAAAGAGGGCTGTCCATCTTTCCATTCATGTCTTTGTTAGATGTTGCTGAGTGACAGTAAATAGCCCTGCAGTGTGTCAACTTGTTATTACATTAAATGATAAACTGCAAAACTGAGTTAAAATATCTGATGCTGTTCCTTGTTTTATCTGTTTCAAGGGTCCCAAAGGTGAAGCAGTTGGTTCTATAACTCAGCCATTGCCCAGCAGTTATTTGATCATCCGAGCCGCTTCAGAATCAGATGGTAAATAGATGTTTCATTGTTTTTCAGCAGTGACAACAGTTAGTTATTAGAAAGAGGTGGTTTCAGTTGTCTTATCATATTTGTTACAGCACTTTGATTGCAGTTTAATTGTTGTTAAAGTTCTCCCTTAATTTAGTACATTCATTTGTGTTGGTACTAGTAGATTTTCCTGGTCATTGAAGGAGAACTCCTTGCAGTTGCCTTGTGTTGACAGGGTAGAGGAGAGGGAAGGGGTTTTTTATGATTTAGCTATATTAATGTATGTCTAAATATCAAGCTAGTGCCTTTCTAAAGTGCTAATGTGCATTCTCATGAAAGCATTTGTGTGTTAAGTGCAGCAGTTGCATAGAGTTCTAGGAGTAAAAATTCCCTCAAGACATAGTTTTGTAACACCCTTCATTGGAAAGGTGACGATCAGTTCAAGTACCTTCCAAGGTTACAATGTGAAAACAAAATTTAACAAAATTTTTTAACCTTTAAAGGTTAAAAAAAATTGTTTAACCTTTCTAGCAGGTGCTTTTCATCTACTAGTTAATTAAGCATACCCCTGCAGACTTTAAAAATAGTTTGCCTTCTGTATTGAGAAATTGATTTGATATAAAGAAATGAAAATGTATGAAGTGGAAAGAATACACAAATTTCTTTAATTATTTTTTCCAAAGAAAATTAGAATATCTGCTTTTTATATTTTGAAACAGTATTTATATGCTGTCTTTTTCCACACTGTTATCGTATTACTTGGCAAATTTTGCCAACTGATGCAGTTACTTAGTCTTCAGAATTAGAGCAGGGTTGCAGGCAACTTTGGAGGCATTCACAGTCAGGGCCTGG